TATATATATATATATATATATATATATATATATATATATATATATATCAATATAGTGCGGCTTCTTCATACCACTTTTTAATGATACTCAAATTTAAGTTACAAGGAACAGTGCTCAAACAGCTGAACGCTATTGCGTTGGTACAAATCAATTTTTTGAGCGGGAAACTCTTCGGTGCAAACCCATTATACCAATGTATGGAAATCTGAAACAAATGACAGCTGAATGAAAAATAAAAGTAATGGTTTAATTTAAATATGGATCGTTTAAAGCACTGATATGAATTTATAAAAGGACTTACAAAATATACAAGCTGTAGAAAAAGTTCTCAACCAAGTCTATTCGAAAAATGTTGCTTGGACTCCATTAATTTATAGAAGCAGTACATGTCACTGACGGTCAAATTCAGTTTCATGTAAAGAGTCCGTTTTTCATTCATATATAAGTCAAGCATGAAATGGAACACTGTCATCTGTAGGCTTAACACGAATTTTTACTGAATATTGTTGACCGAAAGTGACATAATACCCTGTAAAGAAATCATAGAGTACTATATGACAATTATTTTACTGCAAAATGGTAAAATGCTACAAACAGCATACATTTCTAACATGCAATGATTGATGAGTAGAATATGTTACAGACTTACACTACAACTTTCGCGATAACAGTAATATCTCTATACAGCACCACTAGCACGCTGTTTTTTAGGCCGACAGCAAATGCAGCAACAACAACAACAGAAACAACACAATGTGCAGGCCAGCAATACATAACCCAGGGTTACGAATACGAACGAAAATACATAAGTGAACTGGTCGCAATAGTTACTGTCCCGAGAACTGCTATATTGCACGTCAGTGTGCACTGAATACACCCATACTGATCCTAAAATATAAATACGGTAAACAAAAAGCGAAAAACGGAAAAGGTGTGTTCACTCATATTCCGCCAATGAGTCAGCTTATGAACTCAACTGTTAGTTTTTGACTTTTAAAACTTGAGTTGTAACCAAAACTAATTACAACCATCTCCCAGCAATATCTGATTTGATTTTGAAATTGTTTAGAAACTCTACTTCTTACTGCTTTTTCCGACCTTAATTAATCATATAAAGTCTCACTTCTCATTTCTTTTCCAATCTATTTATATTTTTTCGGTTCCTATCACAACAAAATGGAAAGTGAAATACGATTTAATATATCAAATTACATTATTTTTCATCAAAAGTTATCAACTGGAAAATGAAATGACGAGGTATTTCCGAAATGAATCTACTCCAGTAATTTCTATATCAATGATGTAGCAGTGGTTTCTCCTGCATACTGAAATACCTATTTAACTGTCAAAAGTATAGGGGATTATTCAATGCAGTAACTCAACTGTTACTACCATCGATCATCCGGACAAAACACATAATATCAGCAAGCTAATATTAATGCCTTCATGTACTAGTTGATTAGAATATCAAAATGAATGGATAAGAAGTGGATACCAATTATAAACCAGACGAGCAAGAAACACGACAGCAAACCATCGAAGGGATTCGGATTGACATCTGCTGCGGAAGGCGGACGCCCTTCGCGCTGTCGTTTAGCACGATAACAGAAATTTGTTGCACTCTTCAGCAGGGAAAAAAAACCAGTGACAATAAGCCAGATAGGTATGTAAGGTTCCACAGGACAGCTATACAAGTTACTACTGCCAAGTATTATCATTCCCAATGGAATGATATTTAGTACTGCCAGAAGTACCGCAGCGGTCACTAAAATTAGGCACTTGAAGCATATTGACTGCTAATATCTAATATTCTGTAAAGAATGGTTAAGGTATTCAATTATTAAATGCAGTACATCAGTTGTAGTGTGACCGTTTTACAATGATTTTCTAAATGAAATTCGAAACCTTCTTTTCCAGCTTATTTATGCTCTCTATGAATATATTCTAGGTAGCTTTGATCATAAGTGATCAAAAATGACCAAGATGCTCATGACCATGACCTTCGATCTTTGATCACTGACCAGTCATCATTTCTATAGTACGGTGATCTACCCTGTTGGATTTCGAAGGTCACGAAGAAACAAATCATCAATCATTAACTCTTACTTGTGCCAATAATCACTGCAAAAGCTTTCGCTAGAAACTGAGCTAATCCTCTTGGATCTTCAACTTGTCGGAATTCACCATATAACGACTCATAGGTTGGTGGCATACCTGAAACCACTCCTCCGATTATTACTAATTTTATTATTTATTTAAACTCTTTCCTTACCCTCTATAAGAAAGGGTCAAAGAAATTGACTGATTACAACAATTTTATCTTATTCTGAAAATGCGAATCTACGAGTCAATAGTGATAAAGAATACGAGAATCGTATGGCACTTTCCAATGAAGTAAAATAATGGCCATTATTAGAACGAGAATTAACTTACTGTTTGGATTAGCTGAATCCTCATAAGTTGGTGGTGAATCATTATGGACTGATCTACTTGGTGCTTCATGCTGTACCACAACTCTATCCGGATAAGGTGGTGCTGATGCAACTGGCATCGTTCTATAAGACATATACAAGCGATCAATCACAATTTATCATCATGTGACAGAAAGAACAAAACAGAAGAACGAAACAAGCACCATTACATGTAACGTGAGCAGATCACTTTTACAAAAGTGAAGCAGGATTTCTGTTTCATTATTCACTTTATGAAAATATCAGTTCATCGAGAAACACGCAAATATGTCATCCAGCGGCTATCGTCCGTAACCAGTGAATAGTAAAAGTAAAATCCTTTTTCACGTCAACTGCACGTTAAATACACGTCTTCAAAAGATCCCACACCGAATGTATTTACGGTAACCGACCAACTTGATTCCAATGTAACACACACCAACCTTTCACCTATACGCACTTTAATAGCACATATTAATAGCATCACCAGTATAGACATACATGCATACACAATATATGAGCATTAGATGTACGACACTGACCTACGTTTACGTAATGTCCCCTCACTTCTCATTCTCTCCACTTCATGCTCTTTCTGCGATCTGATGTTTCTTTCTTTTCCCTTCATCTGACATGCTTCACACTTCTATAACGTTAAGAGTTCTTGGCTATCTAGACGTACAACGTAAATAGACGTTAATATCGTGAAATCACTATGTCCACCTTTAACAGCACAACTAACAGGAGGATAACGTTTTAATAACCACAAAGAATAGAAATATTCCTCGGGTATCTTGGAGTGTAACATGAGTATACGTAAAGAACACTGTAAAGCACTTCATGTAAAGATTTGGTTAACGTGTCCCGCCATATATATATGGATAATTGCGAGAAGAAATCTTAGCCACTGCAATCGAAATATGTACTGCACCTCCCAGACAAGAAGAGATGATAGTAGTAGCATTTTCGAATCCAACATTAATGAGAACAAATTCAAGTGTTTTACGGAACGCATAATTAGTTGTCTCCTTTTTTGTTTCATTCTTTCTACAGGAGAGAAGAAGCGAATGAAATCACTTGATAGATCACTTCTATCTTCTAAAATATGAAAATATCATTTGACAAAACACTTCTGCCTTTTGAAATGTGAAAATAATAGGCGGCCGAATTGCATAGTTTCTTTTAATTAATTATGACTTGTAAAAATGTCCGGTTGTTCAGAGACAGCCTTATATAGACACTGTTAAGAGGGTGCAGAATATGTATATATATTCATAGTCAGCACGGCACATGATTAATATCAAAATAAACCATGAAATTATTGCAAATATTAAACTGATAAAAGGATTTCTTTGAGGACTCGAATGGAAGTTGCTATTTATATGAACCCATAACAAAATAATGAAAAGAGCAAGGCAAACCAAAAGAATAACAACTTTAATACAATTACCAAGTATGGCATTCATTGGTAACATACAAATTAACGAGTACCTTAGAACGGAAATTCAGAAAGGTTCCATTCATATTTTCTAGGGCAAAATCCGTTTTAAAATAGGCAAAATGCTTGATTTCAAATCATCGTCATCATCGTCACCGTTTTTTCTTACTCTCTGTCGCTCCTCTTCATCGGCACCGTAAGTATAACCCCGTGCTAATCGATCATATCGATTCTCTTCATCATTAACACTGTCCTGCTCAAGGAAAAATGCCTTTAACACAGCATTTACACGCTCACCATCTAATCCTCCAACACCCGTACTGCTGATAACATTACCTACTGGAGAAACCAGCTGCACTTTGACTTCCGCCCCTGAAACTCAAATATTTAGAAAAAACTTTCTAGTTCTTCGCATAAAACAAACATTATAATAAACTGTGTAATGAAGATTCCATTAACAGCGGAATGACCAAAAGACGGTTACCAAAAGATGAATAGAATCCAATAACCAGTCACCTCAATGTATATCACGGATCCGAAATTCTTATTTCTTAACAAGGTAGTCACGAACCTTGAATTAAACCTGTTTCACGGATTTTCTCTTCCAGTGTACTTTTAAAAACAAACAGCTGCTTTCGTAAATCATCAAGATCATCATGAAATAATGTTTCATCCGATTCACTTTTTTTTGCTGTTCTCTTTGATCGCAAATAATGCTATAAAAAGTCAAATTATTTAGGGCAATTAAACTTTAATAAAAGTAAAAAATTAAAATGAGGCGATTCAGACCAAAGGAAGTCAACGACCAGTGACCTCTTAGTGCTTACTATCACTAATTTCCCTTGCCCAGTTAGTGACTATTCTTGAAACATCGCTATACATGATCTCATACAACGTTCGATATAAATAAGAAAAAAACCCGGATGGAAACATCTTTCACATTGTTCTCGTTTTTTCCTCCTTCCACCTTCAGGTAACTTGATGCCTATGAAAGCTTAAACTAAACAAAGGATATTTCCAAATGTAAAAGGCCTATACCGACTCAAACAATTCACCTCAACTTTTTTTCTCAAGTTTTTTCTTCTAGCCCTTTCAAGCATCCTTAGTTGGGCAACTTTTTCGTCCTTATTCATGACATTTTGAACTTCTCCCCTTTTGTCATTAACAGTCGTTTCTGAAACATAAAAATTTGTAAAAACCAACCAGTTACTATCTACAAAGCATAAGTATGTTCAAGGGTATTATATAAGTACGTTCAAAATTTCCTAGCATGGAATTCACCATGAAAAACAAAAATAGTTCCAGAGTTTCAAGTAAAGTTTCAAATTTGAAATAGTTTCAAATATTCAAATAATTTCAAATAATAAATAAGTTTCAAATAACCAAGCAAATTATAAAAACTCTTACACCGACAAACAAACTAACCTCCTTCGGTTATTCGCCAACTTTCAATTTCAAAAGTCTCTGTGTAGAAAAGGTAAGCATTTTCAGGATTCAAATCTAAACAGTGATTTTACACATCAATTATAATTACATAAATAATGCTGACACACAAAAAATTATGATTTTTACCTTCCTCATTTACTTTAAAAGTGTTTATAACTCACAAAATCATTCCTAGAATGTCTAAAGGCATGTTTGAAGAGTAGAATGAATAATTATTGGAATTATCAGATGTTCATATAAACATTACCTTCAATTCGCGCGAGAAACATATTTGGATTTTCAAACAATCTAAATGTCTCAACCGAAGTATGCTTCATGAAATTACCCCACGACTTTTTGTCATAACGCAACACTGCACGATTGTAGGCTTGCTAAAACCATTTCATTTACAAGTAAACAAGAAGCAGAAAGGTACTCCTATACCTTCGAAGCTCAGAACTTCAAGCCAAGGAAATTTAGCAACAATTTTGGAAAAAACTCAATACTGCTGTGGTTTGTAACAAGTAAAATCTATAAACTAATGCCCAATACAACAAAATTATTCAGGAGAACCAAAACTCCAATGAAAGATGATCTGAGCTGTCAGGAATTGCAGCACAATCCTTCGCATCCTACTCAGAAAAATATGAACAAAAAAGCATACCATATATTTCAGAAACATTTTCTCGATCGAAATATAACTGAGTTTCCGGTCAAAACTGTAATCACTCCCGTCATTTATTAACTGCAACAAAAGAAAAATTGAATGTGAAACAAATCTTCGTAAACCACAGTAATTCTCGTAAAGCACTCTTATGATCAGTGTTTTACTCGTTCCCATCATACCGACAGTAAAAGCCAATATTCGGACGAGCACCATAGTAGAATGCAAGTGGAATAAGACTCCAAATTCAGTATTATTCAACAACATTAATTGGACTTAAACAAATGAATATTACAAGTAATTTTAGAAAATTAAAAACAAACCAACGTACGAACAGAGAGAAGCTGTCGAGCAACATGCGACATTAGATCTTCCGCCGTAAATTTTATCCCTCGATTTAGCAATTTCAAAACTTTGTATTCAAATAACTGCAATATCTCAAGCTGCTTCTCAGAGTTAATCCACATTGCTATCAGAAGTGGATTTTCTGCATCGTCCACATCATTTACAATGTCCGGGAAAATACCTTCATGGAAAGCCTTTCTTAACGAACCGATCATTATACTCAGATATGCTTCTGTTATCATCCTTTCATCGATATCGTGTAAAAATTTTGAAAATGACATCTTTTTCTCGTCATATTCTTCATCTATTTTTTTCAAGAATGATGACATCTGAAAATCAAGAGGATGATGGCAATATTATCAAAACAAACATTACTCTTGTTCAATCATTTCACAATACATCTTTAACCTTTATTTGCGATGATGTCTACTGTTAATTATGTTTTAAAAAAGGAAAAAAAAGAATAAGAGCACTATATATCCAGTGAAAAGTTGAGGTTGTGAAGCCACTAAAAAACTCCGTTGCCTCAAATTGTTCGAGGACTAAACTGACTGACATATTCAACACAGAAAATAACATAAACATACCATTAGATAGTAATTATTTCTACCGCGTGAGTATGCAAGAGTGACGGGAAAAAATTCACGATTCCAGTTCGGATCCTTGAAGTACCAATATATATTTCCACGATCCTCATCCACTTCGGTGAGATAACGTGCTGAAATCATCATATTAATTTAACAATTTCCAGGAGAGATTTATGGTTCACTTGTCAAACCATTCTGTTTAGTCCTTCAAACAAGTTGAACGCCATTGATGAAATATGTCCCTTTTAACCAGAAACTTTAAAGACACTCACTTTCCATCTCATGTAAGTCGTCATATATGAAATGAAGGTCTGCTTTCACTTTGGTAACTGAAAGGAAAAAAAGTAAGTGCTAAAACAAATATTGTTAGATAGGCTAAAAACATTTGTAGTCAAAATAAATATAGATAACCTAGCTCATCATGTGATTAATTAAAAATATAACTTACGATCAACATTCAGTTTCGTGATCGACCTCATTATTTCCTCATACACCATTTTCAGCTCTTTTTCAGTCGCTTCCATTTCCCTTATACCCTTTGGTGTTCGTTTTGCTAGACGTTTCCTCGCATATCTCTGTCGCTGAATGCTATCTGCCCGTGCTACGAAAAGTTCAGATTCCTTCTTTGCTTCTTCCTGCAAAAATTACAGGTTTGGACAGTGATAATGTTAGCAAAAAAGCTCCCTATTTTGGGCTACAACATTAACGAAAAAGGATTCAATGAAATTTCAGAACAGCCACAAGTCACAATTTTCGATAGCAGAGATATAATAACGAAGAGAAAGATAGAGAAAGGCAAGGAAGACACCATCAAAATATTTAAGAATTTTCAACCACTGTTAACTACAGCGATGACAAAAGCTTAAATTAATTTGAAAATTTTCACCGCGACATTACTGAAAAGTTAATTATGCTTGATATTCATGGTAAGTTCATTTGAGAGGGTACTCATTAAGTCAATCTGAAAGAATTTAAATAAAGTAGACGTGTCACTGTGCAGGATCGTTAAAATTGGAATTTTTTTGAGCCTTTGAATTGAAAATAGAATCAATATTGCATCTGGATTTCTTTGAAGGTTAAGTAAGTTGCAAAAATATGTAAGTTCTCCCTTAAAACAACAATATTTGTCGCATTCTTTCTGCTAAAGTGAGAAGAAAGCAATTTTCTCACGACGCAATGATCATTTGCACAACCGCAGATGATACCTCACAAAATTATCTATATCCGTTAACGAAATTGAAATAATAAAAAAAGTAACTGCAAAAAACACGAAAGTGGTGAAGAAATTAAAAACTTCACTTGAAAAAAACAACTAAAACAATGAATTTCCACTTTCTTTCCATAATCCATATCTGATGCTAATTACAACTGCATGAACCTCAGAACACAACGCACTTTTCGCCTTTTATTTCGTACGTCATACTCGGTGCAATTAGATGAGTAACAAGGAATGTTTCAGCCAATTGTTTTGTGTGCCAAATATAAGTTTGCAACAAGCTTCAGAAACAAACTTTTTGTCGCTTTTCCTCAGTCACTTTTTCGAGGTACCGCTCAATAGCTTTCTGTTCCAGTAGAGGACGACACATGATTGATAAAGGTTCACGCGGTTTACTTCGACTTAAAAAAATATCCAACTTGCAAAGTGACCCTGTCTTCACCTTTATAATATACTCACATGAGGATGGCTCATCGACATCAGCAATGTACGCTTCGCTTGTCGATAAAGTATCATCACACATGTACTGAAACAGAAGGAAAAAAATGTTGCTCCAAAATTTCATTAATCAGATGTAAGATCTCAATCAATCCCAGAAAAATATATGAAAAATGAACTGCAAAAACTAATTACACGACTTCTACGCCCTTCATTTTTATTAGTAATCGATGCTTTAATGAATACACTATTTCTAAGGGCTAAGGACAAAAAAAGAAAACCAATCTTGGGAAGTAAGATTTGACCTCAAACTTCATCAGTTCCTGTCAGCATACGACCAACTGTTTAATGTGGGATAATTCACTGAAACTACAAGGAAATACTGAGATCTGCGTACCCAGACACGTGTAAGCCTTGATTTGTCCGTCACATCGCAAACTGTCCCATCATCATAAATTTGTTCGAAATACGGTAGCTCTTCACTTTTGTGCTTTGACAAATTTATATCCGAGTTATTTTTATAATGTCCTAGGTAGATAACCTTGCCAACAATTTTTGAACCTAAACAAATGCATGTAACATTGAAAGATTTACATATTTTAATGATTAAAAAAATAAAGGGAAAAATTTTCTATTAATTTAATTACACTTCAATTCCCACCTTCAAGACGGAACTGTTGGACATGTTTGTTATAGCAAAGTTCGTATGTCCACCATCCTGTATTCTATAATAGAATGCAACACTGCAACAACTCGGACAAAAGAAGTGAACTCACACATAACAAAAATTTTGGAACGATGACACTGTAATCGTATTTACATTAATTTCCTCAATGATTCAAGACTGACCAGCAAAGGAATATAAAATGCAATGGTTATGCTTCTGAAAATTGCAAATGCCTGTGCTACTGCTATTTCATAAGGCCATAAAAAAACCCTTCGATGATAATTTAATTAAAAAAATTGAACAGGATGATTAGAAAACTGTAACCGACTTTTTTAAAGAACTCACACATAACTGCATGACATTCAACAAAACTCGTAACAAATTCTAATTTCTCTTTGTTTTATACCAAATTTTCTCAAAATACTTACTTTTCGAATGCAATTTTGCACATAGAAGCTTGCTGCTATAACATCGGAAATCAAATTCACGGTTAAATTTGATTTCGATTTACTGCTCGTTTTTGTTAACGGAATTTTCGGCAAGGAACAGATAAATTTTTGTCCAAATTCACTAACAACAATAGTTGAGCTCCCGTCGTCCACATCGAATATTCCCTAGAAAATGGATGTATGCACATTGCGAAAATCTCTCTCTGATAAGTTTTAACAAAGAGCTATACCTAAAATCAGAGAAACTGAATTCTGTTTAGCAAAGCTTGATATTGTTCTGTGATATATATTTCTTAATAATTATAACAGCGAAGGACTTATGGAACTCACGAGTAGTCTAATGCAACCTTTTTCATCGCTATAGAAAGTTTTCTATTAATTACCAGCAATGTATTCTTCGACATCTTTTCCACCAATGTTCCACTATCCAATTTCAAATTTTCAAATCCAAAAGGTATTTCAACGATTTCGAGATCATATGCAACATTTTGCAATTCATTTGTATTATACATCGCATAACAACATGTGACGAATATTAACAGGGAACGAAAAGGTTGAAACACTACCTTGTCGTACCACATAGCGTACTGAACATGAGCCTTAACAGCAAAATAAAAAGCATTATCAATATATCAGAACGAAAGAATGAAGAAGACAAATGTAACCATATCTTAACCTCCTATCCCATCCAAAATCATGTTTAATTATCCATGCAATAGATTGAAATGCTAGTTGAAAGTTACTCAAAGTTACTCAAACCAACTGGTATTGAGGGACTTCAATTCCGATTTACATTTAACAAACTTATTTGACCCGTATCTATCTATCTATATATATAGCAAATTATTTAACAGTTGCAAAATGAAAGCATGTAGGCATGAAGCCAATGAACTGATAATATAAAACAGCATCAAGATGGAGAATTGATTAAAGATTGAATCTAAGATGTAAGACGAGTGGACACCTTAGTTTCATTTCCACTCATTCATTCATTTACTTGGATATCTATAGATACCAGTTATGTTAATTAAATAGTAAGAGAAGAGATGCAAATATAAACTTGTGATACGTCGTAAATACTATTCTGACTACTGCAACACTTCTACCGTACTCCTCATTTACTTGAGCTACCCAACTACAGATTATGAAAACAGATCGTTCTAATCTGTCAAGTATACATAATGATGAAAGAGTCTAACCATTTAAATGGAAAGGTCCCAGCTCCCAAATTATTCCCGAGATCTATGCCACTCACTACTAAATCACATTTCAGCGAGAGATGGAAGCAATAGGAAATGGAGGTCATCATGAAAAACAACATCCTGTCTTGGATCCTATCAAAAGGTAGCCCCGAGGTGAATTTTGTGGATAAATGATTTCTGAATAGTCCGCGAAATAATCTTCGAGTTTGGAATCATAACCAATTCTGTTCTGCCGAACACAGAAAGAGGAAGTTAAATCAAGGAGAATTATGAATATTGGTCTCGGACCGTTGCAGAGACCTCCAGCATTGTCACCAGTAGGTATGCCACACTGACTGATAGCCACCTTCCCAATTTTAGAGAATTCATCTTTATTTCTCTCTCCAGTGGTATACAATACACTGTCAAATATACCTCCTTCAAAAATTTTCTCAGTTTCCCTTCGGTTTTGATTCAGTTTTCAAGGACTTCCTCTTATTGATGTTTTCTCGGATAGTGTAGGAATGCTAGATAACAAAACAATTTTATTATCAAGATTTATTCTCAAAATAATTTCTCAGCTGTGCCAAGGCCTTACTTCTATGACTAATCGTATTTTTCATCGCACAGCCCATTTCTGCGTATGTTTGTGAGAAACCTTCTGGTTCAAAACATGGATCCCAACCAAAATTCGTGTCTCCTCTGGGTTCAACTATTCTTCCATTCGTTCTTCCTACAAGTAAAATATTTTTAACGATATATAATAAAATAATGATCAATTCTCTAAGGGCTGCTGTGATTTTACATTAAGTGATTTCAACAGAATAAAGTATCACTGCCCTACACAGCGGGCTGAAATGTAAAATTAAAGTTGGGACTAACTTGAACTAAAGTTGGCACTAGCTTGAACTACAAGTTGGCACTGACTTGAACTCACTTATCTCTAACCAGCACTGCTAACGTTTACATCAATAAAATTATGGACCGCTGGGACTCGCTTTCAAAAAATACACCCCATATTTAAAACGAGATAGAAGTCAAAAATCAGAAAAAATTCAGTTAACAAGATCAATCCAATCACTGAAGAAGTGACAAAAATTGAATTTAACAAATACCGACCTGTTCATAAAAATTTACCTTCGAAAAGGAGGACAGGTTTAGAAGAGTTTTCGCAATATGCAAATATACACTGTGCATATGCGGTTTTATCTTCAAAACCAGCTAACAATTTGTGGAGACCGTGAGGCTCCAAGTTCTTAAGGAACCTATAACAATACATTTAATCTCTCTCTAAATAGAAATGACACAAATGAAGGGGAAAACACACTGCATTGTTAAGAAGGTAATTCCAGTGAAAAGTCAAAAAAAAGCACCACTTGATGTACGGCCCTGGCAGACCTCCAAGAGCATTAAAACACAGACACGTATCTTCAACTATCACGGGCCGTTGCAGTCGTTGTGAGGCTGTCAAACATTTAAGCCTGGCTATTTCAGATGGTTCTCCTTGATATTCCGGCAAATCGATGTCTTCATTCTCGATCTGAAATATATAATTAATATAACGTTCCTTTTGCCTTTTTCAACTTTGTAACTTATTTTTATATTGCTTTGCGCGACACTCGGTAATCTTGGGAGAATGTGGATAGCGTTCTCGACGGATTTGAGATTCCAATAAAACAGATTTCCGAACATATTTTTTACAAAGGAAAATAATTTATTTCAAAACAATGTCAAACTTCCACCCAACAATAAAATTAACAATGATAAACACAAAATATTCACAAGTCACTTTTCCAGATAAAAGTGATATATACATTATGTAGCAGTGAACCTAATGCTGACAGATGAGATGAAGAGAGCACGTCTAAGACCAGTTATTACATAACATATCCATATGATATGAGTGAATGTCTTGCATATTCAAACATGTCACTTCAAATGCAAATTTTAGACCATTCCTCAATCCTCCTATTCAGAAAAAGCAGGTTACATTTCCTCTGAAGAATGACAATTTCTTGTTTTTCCAGTTCCTAACCCATTTTTTTCAGCATTTCGTCATATTAAAGCTAATCTTCACCATGCAGTTATATTAAATTAATCAAAATCAAAAAAAAGTTCATGATCATTCACAAAAGTGACCATATTTTTAGGAGAACAGCAAAAGAGAAAAGAGTAATATGCTTTAGCAACCGGACAAAATTTAAATTTCAACCATATTTTGCCTTATACTTCGGATCTCTATCTATCAGAAATCTACGAGCAGTCGCACGTGGAATCCGCTGATAGCGAAACCGATCGAAAAAAGTGGATGTTCTCGAGATGCAACGATAAGAAGTCAAGGGAGTTGTTGAGATCCGATTCTTGCGATTGAAGAGGAGACCTCCTCCCAGAACGGGAGAAAAAAGAGTTCGATGAACTTTTCTTCCAGAAAAGATTGAATCACTTTTTGTACATTTCCTTTCAGTGCCACAGAATAAGTTTAAAGTGGGCTCCCAAATCGGAACTTCTTCGATTTTTGAGTAACGTTCAGACATACCTTCTTTCGTGTCAAATAATTTCGAAAACGAAGTGCATGAACTTCCATCCCCGCTAAAATTTGCAGAATGTCGAGGCAGACAGAATTTCTCCTTCATATAAGATGTCTCGCATTGACAACCTATATGCCGTATTTCCTCATCATCGTCAATGAATAGTTTTGATGATGAAGAGGGGACACTTCGTTCATTTTTTATGCTTCGCACAATTTCCGAATTAGCAACACTTTTGTATTCCTCAGCAAACAAACCATAACGCATTGGTGCTATGTCACGAATCAATTCAGGGACGGTAACCAACAAACCAGAATTCCTTGATGTTTCATTCAAACAACCAGGGTTTTCGAATAGCCTTTCAATATTTTCAAATGATGAACTGCTCTCCATCCCACTGGGATCCCAGTCCGAATTATTTTTTCCACTTTTCCTGAAACCTATCTGCAACACTTCCTTAGAAGTTTGAACCTTTACAGACAACACAAAAATCGGCTAGATAATAAAACCATTACCATGAACCAATCTCCAAGAATAGCGCGCACTTCTTTTACTTTATTCACGTTCCCAGTAACGAATACCAACTTTTGCATAAGCCTAAACATCCAGATAAATATCATCACTGGAATTCGCATAACAAAAAAAATTTCGCATGAACATAATCTGCATACGGCATAAGCAGACTTGCACGAGCTCAATTTTAAATTATAAAGTCCATATTATTAAGTATTATTAAGTCTTTATAGTCTTGTGCGTTAGCACACGTTGCATAACCTGTCAAAAAATTAAGCCGGATGATAATAAAAACATTGCGGAATTATCCGGTATTTCTTTTATTGGACTGATAATTTTAGAATATAGCTATTAATGCCCTATTTTCTCCATATTATTCGCATTAAGACGTACTTCGAAGTAGAATTATGAAACCACTTTCACAGATGAAAAATGAAATAAGCAACGAGAGGATTAGATATTGAGCTATAAAATAAAAAGATGATCCTCAGCACTCAGAAGGGCAGTTTTATTATGAATTAATATATAATCGCAATTTTATAATGGGTTAATAACAATAAAATAAAACGTGCCATCGCAGCAATAAGATCACTGCATATTACAATGGAAAACACAATATTACACTGGAAAACATTCGAATATCAAAAGTAAAATGTACTGTTAACCGGACTGAATATGGATGTTTTATAGTCACGGGAAGAAAAATTTCTTGCTTCAGTTTAAAGTCTTCTATCACAAAACTGATCACACATGATAATTTACATTGTTCAGAGACTGTTCTATCCTAGACAACCAGTTGAATCCTAACCAAAACATCTTGTCATAATAATTTATCCCACCAGAAGAGTAAAATAAATACGACAGTGTCCAATAATGACTTCAGCAAAAAATCATTTCAAATGCTAAAACTACAAGAAGCTAAGACCAGCACCCATTTGGAAAGATGGCGAACACTGATCGCCTGACATGTACCTTAATGGGATAACATAATTCAATTCAATCCGAACAAAATTTTTGATTAAAAATGTTAGTCCCAATCCAGCACTAACACGTAGAGCATCTGACAAATCACGAAGCCGATGTCGAGAATCAGCCGACGCTACAGCTCCTCCGGAAACGAATGCATGCGCGAATAACATTTCCGGTGGAAAAAGCGGCCTAAAATAATATATTCGAAGAAAGTGTTCATTCAGAAAAAAAGATGATAGAAACAATTTCATGTGCTCTTCCGCCCTACTTCAAAATCCGAAAAGTGAAGAGCGATAAATATTAAACAGACCGTATATATGCCAAATACTAGTACTGATAATAGTTCTTTTTCTTTGTTTCTTTTCTTCCTTTTTAATTCTTTCTAATTTTCACTTTTTCGGCACCTCTTTTCGGACCCGAAGCGCGTGGTGGGCTCGGCAATCAATATTCTAATGTGTCATATTTATTTAGTTACAATACCGTCCTTCTCAAACTTATCCTCAAATAAAACACTACACTGTTATGTATAATAATTAAATGAGAGCTATGAGTTAAAATCTGCAAATATGCATGTGACAGTGCTTAACAGACATGCATGTAAAAACTATGTTCAATGCCACAGTAAGATTTGGCTTGGCAATAGCCGGTCCATATAGCAATCCACTAAGCATATCCATAAGCAGATACAAACAATGATGACAAAGGTGTTTATGAGAAATTCTTTCATTACTACATGCAGACAACAAACAGTGATCACCTACCTGTAAATATGCAAAACTCCTACGGCAGAAGTAGCTCCTCCAATGCATGATGAACTATCGGCTCGTCCTCCTATTGTATTCCAGCTAAATCCACGAACATCGTGAGGTCCACCGATATACAAACGATCTAGTAAGTGTAGTGAGCGATGAACGGCTAATGTATTGATAATCGCAAATTGATATGAAGCACTCAGAAACATACCCATGAGTAACGGCGACGATGCCTTAAAATTATTTTTGTGGTAATAAAATAACCAACAGATGAATGAAAGAATGTGTGCAGCCATTTGTATTAACTATTTGTATCAAGTGCTGTGGAAATGTATAACTAAATCAGAAAAATGATCAGCCATATTCTGGAACTATTATCATCTTCACAGCACGACAAACATCTGGGGAAAACTACAGCTAAAATTAAAGTGGTTTTATGATGCGATTATAGAGGCAACAGTGGAAACAATTAAAGTAGACAATATAAATAGATTTAAGTTTGTAGATAAAATGGAATGTTTTCAGCACAAATCATTTGGAAGGCAATGATCAAAATATGAATGAAACAACTGACTTGAGCATCAATCTGGTGTTTCACAAATGCTGCGTCACCAAGAAGGCCTGCATACTCCTGAGCAAATTTCAGCAAAACACCTTTTGTAGCAAGAAGTGGTCGGTCGCGTGTATCGTAGGCCAACGAATTCTGCACTGAACACTTCACTGTATGGCCTGCATGCTCCCGAACCGAAAATGCTGCCTTTTCTGTTGGACAAAGTTCTCGCCAGATCTTAAGTATGGTTTGAATAAAAGCAATTAATTTGCTCTGAATCTTTGTTACTATTGGCCACAGTCGTAAATATCACACCTTTTTGGTGAAGACTTCCATGCTGAGAGCTCTTATTTCCTAAAAAATTTTAAGTGACCTAAAAACATATCATATCATGATTAGGGAGACTAACAACGCTTCACGTAAAGATGCAAGCGCGAACTCCCATAGTGACAGAAGATGATCAATCAAGAACCAAGTAATTAGACATAACACACCGTACTCAACTTCATATTATGGTGAAGTTTTCTGTTCCATAACTGACCATTATACTGTAATACCAGCCCAATATCTTGCATATTACTGAGATTCCATGGCAAATTTCCCAAACTTCGATACAAAGAAAATCCCACGTTGGCATACTTCTGCCAGCCCAAGAGAGGCTTTGTCATTGAAACATTGAAAGTTCGATTACCCTGTAACTCAGCTTAAATTAAAGCACTAGGATTCATCACATCACTGATGGTACCACATCGGATGAAATGAACTGTTGCCTTACAAATGAATTACTCTTTTAATTCCACAATATTTTATGTGGCTAGTCACCGGCAAAACTATAAAGGTGAGTTCAGATAAGATTCCAGAAACTATAATAAATGAAACTACACAGTTTACATGGAAACAGACAAAACCTTGGATAGCTAATTTTCTCATGAAATGCAAAACCAAATCATAACCTCGAAAGTATAGGAATAACATGCATTCACTGATTCACCACGTCCCCCAAAGCTCTCTTTGCCTGCGTTCAATGAATAATCAGTTTCACCTCGACTAGTCATGCCAGCCTAAAAAATTGGTTTAAGAAATCACCACTACTTCCATCTGAACCATAATAACAGTAAAACATAAGATCGGTTCATGCAAACTAAACTAACCTTAACGCCTAAAGTGAATGATTTCGGTTCCTTTATGATAAAATCAACTACATATTTCCCTCGCTTTCCGTCTGCGGAATCAATCAGTGGAGTGACGTTGTCCACAAGGCCAACTTCCTGTAATGCAAAAGCATAATATCACTTTAAGCGATGTAAGTCTATAACAAATAGTAATCAGTGTGGTTTTTAGAATTTTGAAAAGCCTACTCGAAGATGTTTGGCAGCTAAGTCGCAACATCGTATTAATTCCGGAAGTGATGAAACTGTGTAGAGGTATCCAATTTCTTTCAGTAATGCATCAACTTTAGTGTTTTTAACTCCGTGAAATTGTACAGCTTCAACAATAACTGGTTGATTATCACATTTACCGTACAGCACATCAGCTGGATGATAAGTTTTAGTTTTTGGTGTCGACATTTGTGGCGAGGTGAAGGTAGAGAAAGTATCGGTATTTCCTGAAAAGGCATTTTCGTTTAGTACATATATGCAAAAACTTCTAAATATCAATATTCCATTGTCTCTAATAACCGCATTACTACATTCATTATCTTCTTTGCAGAATACAAATAATAAAATTTGAGAGAAGTGTAATTTCTTGTAATATTCATTAAAAATATCACCCATATAATATGTCAGCAGTATTAATCATAAAACAGTTTCTGGCGATACCGCACTGTAGTAAAAATCAGGATCCTATCCCATCATGACTACATCGCTACCCAAGAAGTCAAGCGTTTATATCAGAAACAAGAAAACCTCAGAAGTATCAGATGTGATGCTTTAATTTTGTTATGTTCAAAATATAAGAAAAACAAACCGTGATAAAATTCGGTATTTGTTTTATCCTTTTGAATGCATAAACTGTCTCAGCAATTCCGTTCGTTCTGACTGTCACGATGGAAAGCTCTTCCAAATAAGATTACTTATTCATTTAAAAGCATAACTTAACTCTCGGATAGTACCGAAAAACTGCATTAAACAAGCCTTCCCACCCAGCTTCTATAACCAATCTCCAGAATAAAAATGAAACTAAAAAACTGGTGTCATAAGCTTCCTTTGTGTCATGTTAATGTGCAGTATATTGTCGCGCCAAACTATAGAGACACATAAACACGGCCCGGCGGTGTACTTTACGGGTGCTTGATTAGCCGTGAATAGTTGAGACGGGTCAGAAAGTCGGGGATCACCTCATTATGACGCTAATCGATTGGATCATTATTCGATGAGGTCATTACCTTGTTGTGATACCAATCGACTGCGTCACTGTTTACTCGATGGCGGGTTACCTAATCGTCTAATAGTTAGTATTCTAAGCTTCTTTTGTGTCATGTTAATTTGCAGCATATCGTCGCGCCTGACTGTCGAGACATATCTTGCAGTTCTCTCAAAATTCCTCCTGGTATTTTATCGTCGTCATTACATTATTGCCAGCAGATAGGCAATGTTTTAACCATAATGAAATTATATTTTTTCCCATTGAATTGATTCGGTAAATATATCTAGCTTCAGTTTTTGGGCCTAACATCAAATACCCCAGATCTCAGATTCGGGGAATTTTTATGCCTGAATATTGCTTTATCACGTATTTGAACTATATTTCCTATTTCTCTATTCCTTCCATCAACCAACTCACATTAAATAATTAAATATACTTCTCTTCAGGTATATTACGGATGACTGTCATGAATGATCCCCTCGCTTACCCATGGGCACTTATATGTTCCGTACCTGATGATAACTTTATCCCATCATTGCGGTAAGTTTGTCGGGGCTTAATTTTTTATGTTGTAATACTTTGATTTCGTGCTAATATCCCTTAATTGAAAATTTTTTTGAAGGTTAGAAGACAAATAATTTACTCCATAATGTTTAATGCACTTCCAAGTTCATGTCGTAATTTCCATATCTGTTAGCAGACTATAGAATATCGGGACAATTCTCCGCTGCATGAACATATTCAGTGACATTTTCATTTCATTTTTCAAAGTTTTTGATAATTGGAACGAGCAAAATTAGGTTCTTTAATTTTTATTTCCCTAAATATGATCGTACTTGAAGAGAATTCACTTTATGGCTTACAAGAACACTGCAAGAAAAAGCAGTGCAATATGGATGTAGCCATCGTTTCGATAAAGAACCGAAAGCTGTGTACCGTACAAGCCCTGGAAGTGAGGAGGAAGTTAGGACGATATATAGCACTGTTCATAGGGGTATCTTCTTTGTTAATTCAGTTCATCACAAAATATTCCAAGTAAGATATTATTTCGAATATCTTGTTATATATGATATCACAATTGATGGAGAAATTATTACCTGGTATCGAACTAATTGATATTGGACATGTCTTTCATTGTCACCAAAGACAGATCCTTCTGTCAAAAAGACTGCAGTGATTATCAAACAAGAAGTAGTATGATACTGTAGCATTTAGCTTATTTCAGTTTCATTTTTTCTAACGATGATCTCGAATGCTTGAATTCTTTCTATGTCCTTCTTTCTCATAGTTCATACTGATCTATAAGTTCATGTAGTTCAGCCAGAACTTTGAACCTGAAGTGGAGAGGGGAAATCCAAATAATTTTTGGAATTTTTTTGTTATTTCAATCATAAGCTTCGTCATTCATTTCTCAAATGTTCTTGTTATTCAGATCATCCTGAAGTCATAGTTGTCTTTCATATCTTACCGGCACCAAATTCAATTGAGTACAAGTTAATGAAGGAATTGGCTGACGAGTATGATTTGATACGACAAGGAGTGTTATTGGAGAAAGCCATTACTTATTTTGAAGAATGTAATATTAATGAAGTACTTGGCAATATGCTTCAATGGTTTAATCGTTGTATTTCACGGCTTGTCGCTTTGGAAAAGAAGTAACTTCCCTTATTTTTGCTTGAAAATTTCTCTATATACTAGGACTAATTTCATATTGTGATGGCAGTTTTGGTTCATTTTTCTGGGAAGGATTTAAAGATATTGGATAAGACAGATAAATCAATCTCGATCATGTTTGATACTATTACAGTGCTCGCACAAAATTCAGTCTACGAATTGGCGAGGAAGGGAAGCATACAACGAACATAGTATCTTTTCCAATGAGTAATGTCACTGCTGCAGTGCGAAAAGTCCTCCATGGTAAAGACGACGAAATATCTCAAAATATCAATGGTATTTGTTTCATTTTCTGGCAGTTGATTTCAGATCTCTATCACAGTAGAATTTGCGGTATGGTAGCTTAAGATAAAGAGGCAGGGAAATAATGTCAATAAGCATTCGTTAATCTCCTTCAGTCATTTCTTCGCGTTAAGTCAAAATTGAGGAATTCTCCAGAATCTGGCAAGAATGTCCATCCTATAAATTTTATACGACGAAATTGCCCATCATAAGAAACAGACCAAATTTGATCTCTTCCATCAAATGCATATTTTCAGCGAAAGCAAGCGTCGAAGTTTTCGGTTATCCGACAAGTTTCAATGAATTTGAAATCGCTAGTATTTTCAATAATTTCCGAGTCGTCAGAGTAGTGAAAAGTTTAATTGATGGTGCAGTAGTGGAGTTCGTGAATGAAATCCATGCAGTTCAAGCTGGTATTGAGTATGATCGAAGTTGGATTGATTCAGTACATTCATTGACGGTGACACCCATTCATCCAGAAGTAATGAAAGAAGTGAAGAGAGCACTGCGCGGTGAACATATCTCTCGTCAACCAGTCTCACAATCTCCAGTCCAACTTCCTTTTCAAGAAGTTTGACTTATGAAGGTGCTGAAATTCGATGTATTTTTTCTTGTTATGAATTTCATTCTAAGTTTTTTGCATTGTCTATTATTCGTTATGAGAACAAATCGAAGGAATTATCATTCTTACCAACAGGATATTGCTCTTTTCTACATGAGTTCTCGATGTTCAGTTGTTTCAGTTCCCGATGTTCAGCTGTTTACTGTCTTGTTCCCTTCCGGATTTAATTATCAGAAAGTCATTTTTCCATTAAATACAGCCTTTCTCTTTTGTTTTTATCTTCGTACCGGAAAAAAAAAGTCGTTTAGGCGATATCCTATCATTGTTCAACAACATTCTGTAATTTCGGAGTTTTAAGGAACTTGTCATTATTTTTAGAGCTCCTTAAGGTTTTTATTGCTTTTACAAAAGTCCGTTGATATTTTACTCCAAACACATCATGTAAGTAGGACATTTTTAACACGAACGCACCTTCACTTTGAAAGAACAGCCGGACTATCATTAGTCAGAAATACTTCCCCTTCATTATGTATTAAACACAATTATTTTGACAAATTATGAAGACTTATGAAAGCTTTTTTTTATGAAGACTCATGAAAGACTTATAAAAGCAAAGCAAATTTCACTTAATTATCCCACCAGTCACTCAGATAAAGTGAATTAATTCAATATGTGTTAAGAAAAAGGTTGCTACGACGGGAAAATATTCATTTTGAATAGGAACATTTTGAGGCATCCTGCCAGCATATATGTTAAAT